AACTTCTACATCCTGTATCTCGGAAACGAAACATTTTGGAACATAAACTTATACTCATTTTTATCTGCAAAATATACAGCTGAACAATGACTAAAAAATACAAGAAAACTTTCATATACAGGCTGGAGCAGAATTTGTGTTGTTAAACGCCTTTTTTTGAAGACATCGGATGTGTCATCACCGACAATTTTAGCAATTTTTAATAGTTTGTTGTGTGTAGTGAACTTTGTATAAACTTTATTACAATGGTGAATTGTTCAGCTTTAAAGTGTAAAACCCGCAATGATAAGAAAGAACCAGGAGTTACGTTTCACAGGTAAATAAACAGTCTACTCCACCTTTTTATCGTTTTCTTATTAAATTTGATAATTATTTTTCTGATATTATATATACTAGATATGTAATATACGTTGATACTAGTTTTGAATCATTTTTTCACATTTGAATGTTTTTTTGGTTATAATTAGTTATTTAGGTGCCCGATGGCGTAGAGGTATAGGCTCTCGTCTACAAATCTCAAGGTAGTGGGTTCGAATCCCACACCCGGCATTTCATCAGCCGACTATTTTTATTTAAAATAAAAATAGTTTGGGTACCTAGGTCGACTCAGCCTTAAATGAGTACTTGGGATTCACAATCCTGAGGTAATAATAGGCGGTTGAAGCGTAGTGCTAGCCACATTACCTTCTTTCTATACCGAACGGCTCTAGTATAGCAAGCTGTACCTTGCTACTCCCAAGGCGTTAAACGCTATATACGGGAGCTATTATTATTATTATAATAAGTTATTATTGGTTGGGTTATACGGTTATAATAGCCAACGATATACAAGAACTGCAAAGCATTATTGATTCCGTAGTCCACTATAGTGGTATGTTTGGACTGCATCTCAGTATCTCCAAGACCAAACTATTGGTCTTTTCTAAGACTCCAATAAATGCACACCTGCGTGTCAAGGGACAAACAATCGAACACGTGACCTCAATAAAGTATTTAGGAGCTAACATCAATAGTCAGTGCGACCCAAAAAGAAAAATATTTTCAAGAACTGAGCAAGCGAGAAAAATCTTCGTGAGAATGAAATCATTTTTTACAAGACGAGACCTCAGTGCGGAACTCAGAACTCGAATGGCCAGATGCTACGTCTTCTCTGTGTTACTCTATGAATGTGAGAGCTGGACACTGGATTCACAGACCGAAAAGAGAATAGAACCCTTTGAAATGTATGTATACAGACGGATGCTGCGAATCTCATGGGTACAAAAGATCACCAACGATGAAGTACTCCAGCGCATGCAGAAACAAAAAGAGATACTGAACACCATCAAGGAAATAAAAATGCAATACCTGGGTCATGTGATGAGAGGTTACGAAATGAGAGGTGATTAGAGGATACGAAATACTGCGCCTCATAATAGAGGGCAAAGTGCAAGAGAAAAGATCAGTAAGAAGACTTCAGAACTCATGGCTAAAAGATTTGAAGAGATGATTTGAACGCTCGTCTGCGGAGGAAATCTTCCGGGCTGCAGTTTCCAGAGCCACAATTGCCATTTGGATCGCCAACTTTCGGCAGGAGGGGGCGTGATAAGAAGAAGATTATTGGTTGAACTTTGGCTGAAATTTCCCGAATAGAATTCGGACCACCCTGTATAAGTCAATACATTAACGTGTAATATTTCAAAATTTAAGACAGTGTCAGACCAAGAGGATATATTATTTCATACTTCACATATTATCTGTCGTTTTATGTTTTTGTATAAATATTTTAATAATATCCTTTTTTAAATTCCTTTAATAAAAAAAAATCCTGAAAAAAGGGTTTTTGATTTAAATTTTCCGCAAAATAACTCTGTGATTTAAATACATTTTGCGGAAATAATTAGTCGAAAAAGTTATTATAAATTCAGTTTGGGATAAGTCTATGAATTTTAACGTTGTAAGCGTGTCTGCTGCAAGTGCCGTACATCTGCGTTTAAAATTAATTTCACTGAAAATGAATCTATTAAAGGTAGTTTCACGAAAACAGGGAAAAGAACGCTCGATGTTCTTTTCTTTATTTTAATATTTTCATGCACCCTTTGTCTCGGTTATTTAATTAAATTTTAGTATTTTAAATTTTGTTTGAAAACTAAATTTCTGCTAAATTATATTGTACAGAATAGAATAGAGAAACAAGGGACTTACCTGGCTGGTTATTTTAGAATGAGTGCATTGTTGTATCTCATACACAATACAGGTATTGTGTAAGGAAATGTAATATATATATCCATAGAAGTCAGGAGCACAAAATTTACCCAAAACAAGACTTTATGTAACAAAACAAGAAACAATATGACCCAAAAATTCTGCATTATTAACACAATATCAGTGGTTCCTTGCTAAACTTACTTATAATTATTAACCTTTGTTAAAAATACTCAAGAAGAAGTATAATGCCATCTATGTATTCATGCTTTAAAGACGAAATAGACATCATGAAACTGCAATTTTGATGACGTTTCAATTGACACAATGATCGACATTTCGATCGATTCATTCGAGACTAAAAAATTAAATTTTATTTAATCTTTCAATCTTTCAAAAATTTTTTTTTAGTCTTCTTTAATCTTTCAAAATTTTCAAAGATTAAAGAAGATTTTTGAAAAAACTTAGCAAATATTTCTTTGGAAATCTATTTTACTTTTTCCTGTCGTTACTTTTAAGAAAATTGAAAGACTAATTGCATATTCTATAGCAAATTTATCTGGATTATCTAATAGAATTTTTAGATTTTCAAACTAGCTTATAGTTTATGAGATACATAGTTTCTGAGATACATTCATAACCAACCTTAATTATTTTCTTAATGCGGACCTGGATATTTTATTTCAGGTATATTATGTACGATATAATAATACACATAATTATAGTATTGTACAAGTACATGTATATTTTTTACCTAAGTGAGACCCCAGCTTTAATGTTTAATGAAACTGTGATAGTAATAGATCATAGAATTTTTTTTTTCGTAAAACTTATTTGCATTTTTTCTACGAAATTTAATAAAATATGTTAAAAAATAATATTCTATTCCCCGAGGATTCATTATATCTTGGTAGCAGCTGTATGCAAAGCACAATTTTCGTCGGCAAAATTTTTGATGAAAGAATTTCTCGCGCTGTAATTTAACTTCGCACGTGACTAGTATGCCTGTAACTGGCTGCGTAGATGATTCAAATTAATTTAAAAATTTAAGTTTCTCAGAGAAATTTTAGCATTTATTTTATGAATTAATTAAAGTTAGACATTAAAAATACAAGTACTTTCTATTTTTTTTTAAATCTTTACCAGAATAAGACCACAATAAAACACTAAATCACCACAAACACTTTTACTTTTACACTGGACGCGCGTTTCGCTAACTATATTAGCCTCATCAGCAGATGATTAAAACTCTTTTGTAAAAGAAAGTAAAAGATATTCAAAACTCTTTTAGTTTTAATCGTAATTATTTAATAACAAAAATACGCTACGTAATTTTGACAAGTTTTAAACCAAAGCGAAAATGTAAGAAAAAATATATAACAAGTTAATTTTAAATGAATTTCATAATTTATTGGTTGTACTGAACGTAATGTTTATTATATAGGGTGAGTCATAAATTTATTTTAAGTTTAAAATCATAATAACTTTATAGTCGGGCGACATAGGTAGTAGATTAAATTTACAAGAAAGTAAACCCAGAAAATATACAGTGGTTTTCAATATTTCCCCATAAAATCATTTTTTTCTTAAATTTTCAAAGTAAAAATTTTTTCACAAAATTTAAAAATAATATCTTTAAAATGCTGACATGGGTAATATTTTTTTGAATCTTTTTTCAATTGGCTCAAATTTCCTTATTCAATGTTAATTAGCGCTCATCAATATGTTACGATGAATATAATGAGGTTAAATAATTTAACAAACCAGAGCCGAACTTGAAGTTAGTATAAAAACCCAAAATAAAATAAGAAATATTATCTAATTCTTTCAAAACCTAATATAAAAAATCCAGGTCCGCATTAAAAAAAGTAATTAGGGTTGGTATGAATGTATCTCAGAAATTATGTATCTCAGAAACTATGTATCTCAGAAACTATAAGTTAGTTTGAAAATCTAAAAATACTATCAGATAATCCTGATAAAGTTGCTATAGAATGTGCAATTAATTTTTTAATTTTCTTAAAAGTAACAACAGGGAGAAGTAAAATTGATTTTCAAAAAAATCTTTGCTAAGTTTTTTGAAAATCTTCTTTAATCTCTCAAAATTTTGAAACTATTTTCATAGCAGGTCGTCAAACATCCCAAGACGCAACTTTGCCCCAATTTAGTCGGGCCAAATTATGTTCGTATATATTACGGTTGTCGAGATACCAGTGTTCGTACCTCAAATTTGTAGCACCCTGTATATAAAAAATAGGAGCAATGGAATTTATAAGTTTTATTTAATATAATAATTTAAACTGTAAAAAGTGTTATTGGTATATTTCAGGATTAGAAAATAACAAGCAAGTTTCATTCATTAAAAGTAATGCCTAGAGAGCAAATTAACATCGCTTGGTTCTGTTTTGCAATAATGACATAATTTCCTTTTGTATTCGCGAAACTAGTAAAATTAAGCTAAATTTATTTCGTGTAATTAAAACTTTTATTACGGGGGCTTTAAGCTCGTTGACAGCGATACTTCGTCCTACCTAGATTCGCGTAAGCTCTTAATTGCTAATTAAATTAATTAACAAATAAATTTCATCAGAATGGGTGCATCTAAATTTAAAACTTGTAATTGAATGCTTCAGTTCTTGACATGTTTATAATTGAGAACTTGATAGTCAGCTATCACTATATATTTATGAACGTTTATGTCTCATTTTTTATACAAAGAACTTCAAAAAGATTTCAATTTATATTTATGTTATCATAGGTTTCTCTGGAATAATCCTTGTATCGGGTCGTATACCATATACAAAGCGTGCTGTTCATTATGAAGACATAACTTTCCGTACTAGCGTTGTTGTGCCAAGTACCACAACCCTTTGCATCGCCAAAATTTTGCTGGTCGGGATTTGAAGATTTTTTAGGTGGCTTCGCATATTTTTATATACTAGTCCGTTAGCTGATATAATAATTGGCAGAATCTCAACTTTAGCTAGGTTCCATAGCTTTTTGATTTCTGTTGCCAGTTCCTGGTATTTAGATATTTTTTCGTCATACATCTGTGTCATATTGGAGTCTGATGGAACTGCAAAGTCTATTATTGTGACTTTTTTCCCTGCTATGTCTTGGAAAACCATGTCTGGGCGATTATGATGCATTGGCTTATCAGTAATCATGTCCATGTTCCATAAAATTGTAGCTGGTATTTTGTAGTATTGCCAAAGGTGTGTATTTGTAGTCCGGTGTGTAGGTTTGTAGCAGTTTGTGTTTAAGACATAGTGCTTGATGTAAAGTTTTCTCATGTTGTTGTGTCTGCTAAGGTATGTGGTCGATGCTAAATTACTATTATTAATGTTGATACTATAAACTATATTATTACTATAACTATGTCCCTATTCTTGTAAGGACATAGATGGATACACTATGCTCACATATACCTAGTTAGAGGGTATACAGGGTGAGTAGGAGGTAGTGACTTTTGTTAATGTAAATAATAAATGTTTATATATTTATAATTAATTTATTTTTGTTTTCTAAAATATTTTGATCAAAAGCATGTCTGGGCGCTGAAACGCTGTGCCACTGAAGCTTGACGCTTGTGCCACTGAAGAACTGAAACCTAACTGCTGACACACACACACACAAGTAGTCTCCGTTGGATTAACGCCGGCAGTGTTTACAAAAAATAACTATTTTATTTTGTAGATTTTCTTGCAGTGGCGAAATACCCATATAGGATTTTTTTGGGAGAGATGAATCCGCCACATAGGTACTTATGACATTTTTTTAGAAAGTAAATTTTCATGCATATTTTCATCGATAGGTTTGTAGCTTCTGAATAACGGTCTAGGTAGAGCGTTTCCTAACTCAGAATTAGAACTATTAGAGATAAGCAGCAACTCGCATTTTCATTGGAGGACATCGTCATATTTATTTCAAACCAATAATTAACGAGAATTTTCGTATAATTTAACAAAATTACTGTAAACCACTATAAATACGAATTGTTGGTTAAGTTCAATTTTTTTCTCTTCTTAAATAAATTTAAGCGTTAACATTATTAGGCATTTGCATACACGTGTGTATTTTGGGTGGTCTTTTACCAAATTTGCAGACTATTGTGGAAACAGAAAATTTACAGTTTACAGAAATAAATTGAAAATAATATTTATATTAAAACAGCATTATATGTAACTTTTTCAAACATGTCTTTGAAATCCTCCAAATTAATAGCTCTTAGTAAGAAGTTACACAATTACACATAGTATATAATAAAGTTTAATTATATAACTAATATTCTCTTAAAAATAACAATTTTTGAGGTTTAAGAAAATATCCGAAACTTTAAATGAAATTTTGAAATGACTTCCTAACAACAACAGCATTTTTTATAGTTTCTTTTCAACCTTTAGTAGTTAAATTAACTGATTTTCTACGCTCTATACAGCCTTGCTTTCTGTGCAGAACGTATTTGAGTTTAAATCCTTTTGTTATCTGAGCTTTGTTATCGCAGATAATCGTGAGCAAAAAACGACGCTCGAGAGCACAAAGAGAAACAATTTCTCAAGTAGTCTTAAGCAGCTTGCATCTGACAGCTCTAAGTTGATAAATTAAGAGGTCTTCTTCTGTTAGCTCTATATATATTTATCATATAGGTATAGAAAGCTTAGTGCTAGATAAAGGATACTTGTGTTTACCAAAATAATCTTTTTATTCTCTAGATTTTTCTTCCAGGCGAAAAACCCAAGTAAGTACTTTTTTAAGATTTGTGTTGTGATGGTGAATGAAAAATCAAACGATACCTATAGAATATTAACATCTATAAAAACTTCTCTACAGGTGTAATTTCCTAGCGAGACGTCTGGTCTCTATAAAATGATACATTACTTTTCATTGATATAATAAAATACAACTGTTGGGCCACATATGCTCTATTTCTATTTTTTCTACTTTTACTGACAGTTCGACAAGCAAAACTATCTTTTAAGGTACCGTTTTCAAATCGCTTAACGAAATGGGTAAAGAATGGGTAAAGACGCACATTTTTTCTTTCATGAGCTTTTCTGTGAATGAAAAGCCCGATACATGATGTTATCTTCTTTTTACCTTCTTTTTTGCACTCAGAACATTCAAAAATCTCAGCTATTTAGACACTTTCACATACGTCAACATACGCTTTGTTTACGTCAAAGTAAAAAAACGTCACAAAATATAACTTTTTAGTCACAACCATAGATAAAAGTCATAACTTAATTGTCCAGGATTCCTACTTTCTTACACCTTTAAATTGTTTTGTATGATATCCTTTCTTAAAAGATCATTGCTCAAATATTACGTTTATTTTTTCAAAGATATCTTTTTTATCTGCTCTAAATTATATATTTTTTATTTCCTATATTTCATATACGTTTGTTACGGTAATAATCACCTCACTTACGCCGAAACATTTTGTAAAATACAGGCGACACGTTTCTTCCCTACCGCAATAAAACCAAAACGGCGCTCTCCATATTTATCCCCCTTGTTTTGTGCCGCCGTCGTTTATGGCGCTTCCTTTGCGTTAAATTTACTGCAACTGTAAATTCGCGCTTACGGATTCGTCGGGGATAAAAGTAGGAAAAAAGCCGCTCGTTTTGAGGTTGACGTTTCTGTCTAACCTAGATTGAGTATTACTAGGGAAACCCAAATATTAAAAGTGCATATTTTGCTATGTTTTGCATATATTCAAATATTTTTTAATGCATGTTTTTGTGAATCAAATATTTTTTAATGTATAATTATTTAGACATTTAGCAAGTATAAGCGATACCAAATAAATTTTCAGTAGCGTGATGAAGCTTCATTGGCACAGCGTTGCCCACTTTTGCGTATTTTCTTTTAATCAAAATATTTTAGGAAACAAAAATAAATTAATTATAAATAAATAACGCTATTGATATATAGCAGTTTAAATATAGCGATGTTGAGCGGTGCCATGCAAAATACCCTGTATAAGATAATGTAAGTTTTCCTTCGCGTACTTAATCTGATATCCTTGATGTTAAAGAAAATATTGATAAGTGTTAATAAAGTAAAATTCACTTCAGTGTTTAACTATTTGTCGGATATACTGTGTTTAACTAGAGTATCAGTAAATATAAAATAGCATTGCAACACCGCATAGTTCTTCAAAAAAAATAGTGTACAATAGCAAAACTATATTAAATTTTATTCAGAGAAATGTATCGACGACAATATTGTAAATTTTCAGACTAATGGGCCACCCATGTGTATAATTTCGTTCTTAGAAACACTTTACCGGGTGCGTCTCAAAAGTGGCTCACCCATGTAACTTTTTATTTTTTCAGATAAAAAAAACGAGATTTGGTATGTCACTTTATGACATAAATTAGGACTGATTGACGGTATTCTATTGTTTTTGGCCACTTCCTGTTTCACCGGAAATTACTACAACTTTTGATTTTTAAATTTCTATTTTTATATTATTTATATATATATTTATATATTTTATGATACTTTATTAGGTATTTTTTTTATTTTATTCGATAGAAAATGACACTCTGAATAGAATGACATAAACATAATATACCAACATTTGACATTTTCGCTTTAAAAAGAATCGTATTTTAACTTCAATCTAGAGTGCCATGATTGTCTTAAAAACACTAATTTTTATTCAATGAGCCTTGTAGAAAAATCAAGCCTTGTAGTCATTTTCGGTGAAACAGGAAGTGACCGAAAACAAATGAATATGTCAATCAATCCTAATTTGTCATATACTGACATACCAAATCTCGTTTTTTATGTCAAAAAGTAAAAAAGTTATAGTGGGGCCACTTTTGAGGCGCACCCGGTATATAACAAATTTCTATTGCATTATTATTACCAGTATACCATGAAAAATGGTAAAAAAAATATTATAAAATTAAAAAATGATCAAAAAAGTAACAGAACAGAAGCATCCATCTAAGAAAAATTTCCATAAAAGTTGTTAGTAATTAATTAGTCTTTCTAAGATATTTATGTAAGAACTAGTTTCAAAACATTTTAATTAAGTTATCAAGATATTCTAGCAACATTCTATCTCCAGGATAACAGTTCATCGCTTTTTAATTTTCGAACACAATGCCTAATTTTAAATTAACAATTTTCTTAGACGAGAAAAATATTACTTTGCGATGTTACAAAAGCAAAAACGATTTTAAAAGAGAACGATTCTCTCTGAATTTAAATTACGGGTTTTATTTTCGCCAAGTTTTGATTAAGGATCTATAAAACCGGGATAAATGAAAATGTCCTCTAAGCCGCAATCTTAACGTTAATGTCAGCGAAAAGACATCTTTTATTCCAAATAACGTTTCTGGGTTTTATTTTTTTGTTCGGAAAGGAAATCGTTTACTAATCAAAATTCAGAATAAAAATAAACAAAAATTACTAAATAAAAGTAACAGTTTAACAGACAGCATAGATAAATGAAACAAGTTTAGATTGAAAAATTCCCCTAAGGACAATATAAACAGTATTTGGCGCTATTCTTACAACGGTCGCGACCCAAAGCTTTTGATAATTTCGGAGCGGTTCGGCTTTTTCCGGAATTATGTCGCCAAATATTATTTATTCAAATTTATTATTATTTTCTGTTAATTTTATAAATAAAATACAGTGTTTTGCATACAAGAAACTTTATTTTATAAAAAGACATGTGTGTGAAATACCTATGAAACATTTGAAACCGACGTAATGCCACGATACACGATGGTTTTTGCAGTTCACAGTTCACAACAAAGTTTTTTAGTTTTTAATGCCACTTTTTCATAATTATCACGGGTTTGAGTAAATAAAATTTAAATTAAACTCACAAGATAGCAATAATTACTTTGAGAATGGACGCTTTAAAAACTTTTCGGTATTTTTTAAATGAGGGCCGTTTAAATTTTGAAAGACTTTATAATTTTTGAGGATTCTGACTTTGACGAGAAATTCAGTTCTGTTATTGTTTGCGGTTGTTCTTAGCAACCGCTCTAGCAGCGCCAGATCGCGTACAACCGTCGCGACTCAAAACAATTATATATTTTGACGGGCTTTCCAATCTAAATTTAATTCCTTTATCTATAACAGACAGTTTGACAGAGACGTCTCTGATATCAGTCATCAGTCGTCGCAAAGTTTATGGCATGAATGG